TGATATCTATGTGCAACAGGCCATCTGCAAGTAACAAAACAATGTCATAGAAACCACAGAATGTTCCCTCTCAGCACTGACCAATGAAAATAATTGGTACACAGGTATTTCATGCCAAAATATGACTTTGAAAAATGCTCTTGATTGTCCCAAATGTCAATCAATCAGAAACCAACCCATACCTACTGATGTAATCCTGTAACTTTTGTCAATAAAACCTCACAGTAGACAGGGAACTTCACAACTTCATTCCCTCTAGGGGCTGCTGTGACAGCTAGCCAGACGGGGTCCCTGTCATGGGTGGATGAACAAGCATTAAACCTTGCTTTTGCAGTTTAGTGGGTCTGTCTTCCTGATGGTCTCTGGGAACTTTGCAACTTAGGCACAACAGAAATATCAAACTAAGACGCCTCACACTGCAAAATGTGGGGATGGGGTGGAGAAAGGGAAACCTGGGAACCCAGCTGAAGAAAATCTAACCCAGAGGCCAGTGAGATGGTTCAGTGGTTAAAGACCTGATGACATGAATTTGATCCATAGAGCCCAATGGTAGAAGAAGAGAACTGACTCTTGCAAGTGGTGCTCTGACCTCCACAAGCATGTTGTAGCACACATGCATCCACATGGCAAATAAAAATGCTGAAAGAAAACCTGACCCAGAATACATCCTTATCAACTTTTTTTAACAACAACATAAGGAAAAAAGATACTGTGGACTCTATTAATTAAAACTAAAATTAACTTTTAATGCATCACAGGGAACTATCAATAAGGTAAAAAGACAACTCAAAAATAAAAGTATTTGCAAATCATATATCTGGTACTGTTCTAGTCTACAAAACACATAAAGAACTATACAAGATACACAACTCAACAATGCTAATACAAATGACCAATTTAAAAGTTGGCAAGGACAGAGAAGATATAAACAGGGAATAACACATGAAAATAATGTTCAACATACTAATTATTTGAGAAATGCAAACATACTAGGTTCATTACTATAAAACAAAATAAAATGAGTTAAGTGTGTTGCTATGGAGAATGCTGGAAGAAGAACCCTCATACATTCCTGACAGAAATGTAAAATTGTGTAAGTTGTCCTGGAAGAGATCATACGAAGTTAATATGGAATTATTACATGACACAGATTTCCACAATAAAAATGAAATCACTTGTATTCCCTAAATTTGCACAAATGTTCAAGATGTAGCACTCTTCACAGTGGGCAAAAGATGGAAGTAAGCCAAACACCATAAGCCTATAAATGATTAAATAAAATGTTACAGTGGAATATTATTAAGTATAAATAAGAGTACCAACACAAGCAAAAAATGGATGAACCTTAAGACATCAAGCTAAGTGAAAGAGAACAGAAACAAGAACAGTGTGCTAAGATTCCACTTACAGTCAAGAAAAAGCAAATCCTCCAAAACAAATTACCCACTGCCTGGGCTACCGGTAGAAAGTAGAAGTTTTTAAGAGATACACAGTTTCCTTAGTGATGAAAATGCTCTGGAACTACACAGTGGTCACGGCACAGCACCATGAATATAACAACATTAGCAGAAACTACTAAATAAAAGAAAGCAGACACCAAGGACTGTATACTGATGATCCCATTTACATATAACATCAGAGCGGGCAAATTCATGACATCATAAAATGTAGGGAAGTGTGGCTATTGCTAAAGAATATCAAGTTTCTTCTCTGCTGTGGCTGCACAACTCTGTGAACGTACTATACACCACTCAACTGTTTTTCTGAAAGGAAGAATTTACAGTATGTGAATATATCTCAACTTTAAAAAAAATTTGAACTAGAACCACATCATAGGGCTAAGGAGTCTTATAAAATCATCATCTCTACTTTCACATCCTACAAAGCCTGAGAACAATTCAGAGTGAACTATTTAAGTTATTAACTTACTCAACAAACTGAAGTTTGTTAGTAACAGAGCCAGGATTAGGATATAAGATACTTACTTCTACCTTAGTTCTCAGATATTGGAAGCAAAAAACAAAAAGCCAGAAAATAAAAATCTTTTAGCCAGGCTTAGTATAGTACACTTGTAATCTCAATTGCAAATTAAAGACCAGCCTAGACTGCAAAGTGAGATCCTGACTCAAAAAAACTAATAAATGAAATTTTTAAAAATGGTCCTTATAATTTTTAAAAATACTTTGTTAAAACTAATGCCCTGATATCCCAGCATCTCTTTTTAAGCTCCAAACCCTTCATTAATTTATCATTTTGCAAATACAAAAACATCAAGCTCACTGTATTTCAAAACGCACTTGGAATAGCTAAAAAATTTATTCATTTACCATTCATAGATTAATTAATGTTTTCAGCAATTTAATGAAACGTTACCTAATTTTTCTTTCAGAAAATCCCATTACATAAAATCTTTGAAATTCTAAGTCAACTTTACAGTGTTTTATTTTATATTTTAGTGTGTTGAAAATTAAATTTATTTAGTGTGTATGTATGTGCATAAATGCACATGCATCTATGTGAGGGTGCACACCTACCACAGGCACTTGTAGAAGTCAGGATAACCACGTGTCTAGGGAATGTCAAACTTGGCAGCAGATCTATATCTGCTGAGCCATTTGACTGGCCTGTTATTAACATTTATCTTTTTAATTAGATTAAATCTGTGTGCCTGTGTGTATATGCGTGCACTCGTGTGCTCACACACATGTGTTTGTGAAGAAAAATCTACCTTTCCTTTTGTTGTTGTGAAGACAGGATTTCACATAGCCCAGGGGGACCTACAGCTAGCTTATTTCCAGGATGGATCTGAAATCTTGGGATCCCCTGCTTCTACCTCTGGAGTGGCTAAGATTACGGCTTAGGCAGTACTGGTAATCAAACACAGGGTCTCTGTTATGCTAGGCCAGTATTCTACCCACTGATCCACATTCCCAGCTTTATATATATATATGTATGTGTGTGTGTGTGTGTGTGTGTGTGTGTGTGTGTGTGTGTGTGTGTATTTCCCCCCCCCCCCCCCCCGAGACAGGGTTTCTCTGTGGCTTTGGAGGCTGTCCTGGAACTCGCTCTTGTAGACCAGGCTGGCCTCAAACTCACAGAGATCCGCCTGCCTCTGCCTCCCGAGTGCTGGGATTAAAGGCATGCGCCACCAACGTCCAGCCCAGCTTAATATATTCTATATTGATATTTTTCAAAAGTTAGACAGTCCCACAACTCTAGCTCATTGGCTGTGGTCAGAGTTTTGATACTTTGACCAATAGAGGATGATAGAAATGATCTTTGCAATTCCTAATCTGATAAAAACTGATCCAAATCATAAAACAAAGATAATCCAACATATGGTATTTATTATAAAAACAAGAGTTCTTATCTACGATGAATACTCTTTCCATAGCATCCTATAATCATACAGATCCCCCTGCCAAAAAAAAAAAAAAAAAGAGGATAGTATTTTAAAAGTTCTATTTCATTCATTTGTTTATTTTTTGTGTGATTTCCGGTGTGTGAGGGAAGTCAAAGGACAACGTTCAGGGCTCCTGCCCTCTGGTTAGAACCCAGGGGTGTAAGTCAAATCATCAGGCTTGGTGGCAACTACATTTACCCACTGAGCCATTTCATTAGCCGATTTTAAATCGCCTTTCAATTGTCTAAAATGATAATAATTAGTATGCTACAGAAGTCAAAATACTCCCATTCAACTTCATATAAATAAAGTACAACAACATACATGAGCATAGGCTTCTCTAAGCACACAGGTCTCATCATTTGGATGCAATTCTGGACAATGAGTCTGAATGTGGGGGACGGGGGACTAAGGATGGAGCTCATTTTGTAGAATGTCTAACAGCCCCAAAGCCCTGGGTTCTGACCCCAGCACCACATGGAGCACTCGAGTGGAGGCAGAAAATTCAAGGTCATCCTACACAGGGAATGCTTTTGCTGTTAGGGATCCATCTTAAAGCTAAGATTACCCAGGATGTCCTGTTAATTACACATTTGACTTTCTGACTCCATGGGTAATTTAGAAGTCTCTCCTAATCACCCCACCCCCCATTTTCCCAGGATAGGGTTTCTCTGTGAAACAGTCCTGGCTGTCCTTGAACTCACTCTGCATACCAGGCTGGCCTCAAACTCACAGAGCTTCACCTGCCTCTGCCTCCTGAGTGCTGGTATTAAAGATGTGTAGCAACACCACCAGGCATTATTTTTATTTTTTTAATGTTTTATGTATGATTGTTCTTCATATATAGCTGCATGCCAGAAGAGGGCATCAGATCCTATTATAGATGGTGTGAGCCACCATGTGGTTGCTGGGAATTAAACTCAGGACCCCTGGAAAATTAGCCATCGCTCTTAACTGATCTCTGCAGCCCCAAGAGTTTATTTTTCAAATCAGGAATAAATTTAGGTTCTATCTATACCTTTTAGGTGATTTAAACAAAAATATTTTATTTAATTGGGTTGATTTTAAAGAATGAATGAGAAAAAGTGTGGAAAGTTCTGAGCAAGTGGTAGTGGTAATGGGCCAAAACTCCCAGGACTGAGGTTACAGATGCAAGAGGATGGGGAGTTCAAAGCCAACTTAGTCTACACAGACTTCAGCCTTAAAAAACAACCACAAAATAAAACAAATCCCCAGGACATTAGAAATTAAGAGTGCTGCATTGGTAGAGTTCTTTGTCTAGCATGCTCAAGGCATGATAAAGCTGTTGTTCATCTGGGCGTGATGAGGCAGGAGTATCTCAAATTTAAGGATAACCTGAGCGTCATAGAGTTCTCCCAAAACCAAAATTAAGTAAATGTATAATGTGGTCTCCCAACAGGAACTTACAAAATAACTGCTGCTTAGCAGCAGCAAAGAGAAAATCATAACAACATGGAAAGTAGTCATATTCTGTAATTCCTAATAAACTGTTTTAAACACATACTACTAAATGCAAATATCGATTCATATTAAGTGGGATAGTAGTTCAGTGTCAGAACGTAACTTGCACAGTTACCTTTATCAAGTATTTTTCCCATCTGTCTGCTGTGACGGATTTGCCAATCTTCCTCATCAACTTCAAATGAAGCTCCACCAGTTCTTTTGGCACTTAAAAGGAAGGAAAAAGCTCTGTTAGCCAACAAAATGAAACACTTACATTTAAGATTTAAAATAAAAATAAAAACCCACTTCCTCCAGTCCTAAACCCTTTCTCAAAACCCAGAATGTTCCAGGCTCTACTTTCTTTATCCCTAAATCCTTAAAAGCCTAAACTAGAACAAAAAATGACTAAATACTATTTTCAGTATTTAGTATGGGGAATAGTCACATTTAGAACTATCATGAGGAACGAAACCTATTATAAACTACAGAGTAAGTCACAGCAGTTTAATGGTCACAGAAGCTCCACACACTGCAGGCCCCACAGGGATGTGGATGAGGAAGACTTCAGGAGAGCAGAGCAAAGTCAACGCTCTGAACTTTCTTCTTCATTCCTGTGAACAGGGAGACTGCCCCCAAAACACCACAAAGCTGTTTGTTTGTTTGTTTGTTTGTTTGTTTTTAATGACTAGAAATGTAGCTCAGTGGTAAAGTACTTTGCCTAGCATGTAGAGATGACAGGTTCAACCCCCCCCATTTATACAATAACTAAATAACCATCAAATAAAAGCACTTAACTAAACAACTAAAATTTCTTAGTGTTCCTCATGTTATACATCTGGATTCCAGGCGTAGATACAAAGTCATACAATGAGAAAGAAATTGAAGAATATACATCTCAGGTTGATGGACATTTTAGAAACTGAACTAACAGTGTTCAAACTTAAAAAAAAAAACTAAACTAAAAAATGGTCTTCAAATCTAACTCCTATACGACCAGCTGAATTTCTCTGTAGCATCCTATGGATCCCTACCTGACAATCTTCTCAGACCAACAACAACAACAAAAGTCAGGCAGTAGTGGCAGATGTCTTTGCCTTTAACCCCAGCACTTGGAAAGCAGAGACAGTAGGATCTCTGTGAGTTCGCACCCTGGTCTACTGAGCAAGTTCCAGGACAGGCTCCAAAAACTACACAGAGAAACCCTGTCTCAAAAAAACAAAAACAAACAAATAAAGAAGTCCTTATCTTCCAAAGCCTTGGCCCCATCCCTTGAACAGGACTGACCATTAGATGGCCATCTTTAAGAGAAACTCTACCTTCCTACACCTTCCTCACTGGGTTTTGACTCTTACTCAAACTTCAAAAGATTGCTCTATCTTCCCTCGGGTTCTCTGTTCTTACTGCAAACAACCAGAGTTCCTCTAAATATCCCTCAGGTGGTGATCTGATTGTTTTTAAATTATATTAATTAGACCCAAGGGAAATACATAGGACAGATATGCCTGCCAAATTTTGTATTTCCCAAATCTTAAATACTACTAGCAACAAAAAAGAAATTACAGGTACCAGCTGGGCAGTGGTGGCACATGCCTTTAACCCCAGCACTTGCGAGGCAGAAGCAGATGGATCTCTGTGCATTCCAGGACAGGCTCCAAAGCTACAAAGAGAAATCTTGTCCAGAAAAACCTGAAGGGGGGGGGCTAAATTACAGGTACCCTATCTAAATTTTTTCCATAACCAAATGTATATATTAAGAAAATGCTGGACCAAAAAGAAGCTTTTTTTTATTTGCTAATTGTCCTCATGGTTACTAAGACAGAAATAAGATCTGCAACATTTTCCAATCTATTTGATCTAATACAGAGTTAGACACAAATGCTGTGCAAACCACTCTCATTTTTTCAGTCCTTCATTCTCTCAAGGGCTTTATTCTGAACTTCTTGTAACTTGACAACCTGCAAGTATAACAATCACTCATTCAACAATTTCCGAGGGTCTACTATTAGCAAGTAAAAAACAATGTTTGGCTACTCGTCCAGAGGACCAGGGTTCAATTCCCAGCACCCACATGGCAGCTCAGAACTGTGTATAACTCCAGTTCTAATGGATTTGACACCCTAATACAGACATACAGTCCTTGTCCTCAGTGAGTCTCCATGAATGAATCTTCCACAGATGGGCTAGTCACAAATAAATATAGAACCTGAAGTAGAACCTAAAACCCAAGTAGAGAGTTGAAGATGGAGTAGAAAACTTCATATAGAAACAGGAGTAGGTGTAAAAAAAACAAAAGAACAACAGCGACCATGAATCTTCAGACAGGGATTTTACCATGAAGATTTTACTCACAAAGCCAGCCAAAAAGCCTGATTTTATTTACAAGTTGAAGCAGAAGATCATTCTGTGTTTTAGAAATATCCCAATGACTAAATTAGAGGAAATAAGATTTTAAAATAAAAGTTTTCATTTGCTTGTTTTAAGAGATAGAACACAGGGCAAAAATCTGAAGTAAATTTAAGGAAATATCTATAAAGATGAGTGTAGCCTGAACTAAGCCTACATACTAGGGACAACAGACATAGCAGTGAGCAGAACTGAGAAATATTTTAGAAAATAAAATCAACAAATTGTGTGGCAGGCTGGCAGTGAAGTACTGGCTTAGGAAACCCAAGAGGCCAAGGACAGCATGGTACTAAGGGCTCAATTCTCAGTTCTCCATTCTACTCAAGTGGTCCCGTCCCTTAGCACTGAACCTTGACTTCCTAATCTGTACTGTAAGACTATGGCTATCTCCTGGAGTTTTCAAACAGCAAAACACTAGATTGAAAACACTTCTGATATATTTCTGCCATGATATTGGAAACTAAGATCACCTTTAACTCTTCCCAAACACTCAGAGTTCACAGTTTACCCTCACTACATCTCAGGCCTGCTAAAGTCTCGACCTTCCATCTTCTCCCCCTTCTTTCTAGGACATACAGAGAAGGCTATACCTCCTCACTGCAGAAAAAAATTGTCAAAGATAGTAATAGTCAAACTGGGCAGTGGCAGCGCACGCCTTTAATTCCAGCACTTTGGAGGCAGAGGTAGGTGGATCTCTTGAGAGTTTGAGGCCAGCCTGGTCTACAGAGCCAGATCCAGGACAGCCAAAGCTACAAAGAGAGACCCTGTCTCGAAAAACCAAAATAAAATAAAATAAAAAAGGATAATACAGGCTGGGCGTTGGTGGCGCACGCCTTTAATCCCAGCACTCGGGAGGCAGAAACAGGCGGATCTCTGTGAGTTTGAGGCCAGCCTGGTCTACAAAGTGAGTTCCAGGACAGCCTCCAAAGCCACAGAGAAACCCTGTCTCAAAAAAAAAAAAAAAAAAAAAAAAAAAAGGATAATACATACTCAAACCAACATCCCAATTTAGCAGTTGGTGATTAGGTGGAAGCTCCACTCCTCTCTCTCCCCGAGACCTTGCCCCTTCAGAAAGTAGACCAAACTGCAGCCCCTCCCCGCAAAAAATCTGCCAAGAGTTAGCCCCTCCTCAGGGCTGCTCAAGACAATGCCTACAGGCTACTTAAGACCTGTCGGCCATTATTTGCCATGAGATCACCCAGGAGTGCTTTGTTCTGTTCATTAAACCTTGATTTATTAATTTGGCTTGACTGGCTTATTACACCAGCAGTGGCCGATATCCAATAACCGGGAATCCAAAGCTTATCAGTTGGTAATACATTTATAGCTCTATAAAATACTATAAACTCACTTAAATTTCTTGCCTGTAACTCAAGAGTCTTGACAATTATTTTCATCCTAACTCCCAAACCCTTTCTTTTACATCTACACTCAATAGGAATCACTTTGGTCTGGCCAGGCAGTGGTGACATACTCCTGAAGGAAGACTCGGGTAGATCTCTGTGAGTTTGAGGCTATTCTGGTATACACTGTGAGCCCAAGACAGCCACAGGCACACACACGTGCGCCTCAAAAAACCAAAAAGGAAAAAAAAATCACTCTGGTATGTTCATTGCCCACTAAACATCCCCCCCAAAAAAAACCTCTTGAAAAACAAAAAAGGGGGGAAATCACTTTGGTTTGTTTACTGCCCACTAAACCTATCCTAGCTGTTGCCTGTGAGTGCCATGTGGAAGCCTTCCAGCTAATTTCCATATCCTTATGTGAATCAAATTCATCTTCCAATGGCTAGGGAATGTAAGTCTCGGGCTTTCCATTTCCAGTATGTCTTTTACTGTCTGTACCAAGTGGTGACTCTGACCAGGTTTTAAACCTACCTACCACATCATACAGAAATCATGGAAGATTTTTATTCTGTTGGCATTGCTTTTTAAAAGGCTAAGAGAAAACAAAATTCAACATGCAATAAACATGCTTTTCATTATGTTTACAAGTCTTGTTTATGCTGAGTTAGGTATATAAAAACAGGTTAAGAACTGAATTTATTAGGCTTTATTCAGGGAAGCCACCTACAGTGAGGGAGAGTACAGAGCTGGCATATTAAATTAACATTCATAACTCATTATTTGGTAACTGTGGTGGGTAGTTTGAATGAAAATGGACCCCATAGGCTCATAGGATTAGGAGGTGTGGCCTTATTGGAGGAAATGGGTCACTGTAGGTGGTCTTTGAGGTTTTAAAAAGCTCATTCCAAATCTGAGTTTCTCTCTTCCTGCTGCCTGTGAATTTGGACTTGGAACTCTCAGCCACCACTCCAGCACCATGCCTCCATGTCCAGCTGGAACAATGGACTAAACCTCTGAACTGTAAGCAAACCCCAGTTAAATGTTTTTCCTTTATAAGAGTTGCTGCGGTCAAGACGTCTCTTCACAGCAACAAAACACAGACTAACACAGTAAGTAAATGTATTTAAGTTTTGGTTTACAGAGAGAGCTAAAATGTAATGATCGCTAAGGGCAATGAACTTGTTAACTGATGTGAGTGTAAGTACCCACAGTGGCCAGAAGAGGGCATTGGAGCTTGAGCTATAGGCAGTGGTGAGCCAGCCAACATGGTTACTGAAAAACTTAACTCCAGTCAGCAAGAGCTCTTAATTGCTGAGCGACCTCTCCAGAACTGGAGCTGAGCCTTTTACTTTTACTTATTCTTTAAAGGTTAATTCTATTTATTTAGTGCAGGTCTAGCAGACCTCAACTTGCCACTCAGGTCTTTCCTTCCACCATGTGGTTAATGGAGATCAAACGCAAGTCATCAGGCTTGGC